GTTTAGTTCATTAAGGGTGCCGATAGGATATGGAAATCCTCAATCCTTGGATCTTCAGTGGAAGTAGTGCTCTCAACGCCGGTGTGTGCTGCCAGCCGAATAATCAATTAAGATAATGGTGTCGATGAAGGCTTCCAGGATCCTTTCCCAAACGTCCCAGGCAAGGTTATTTATATCTGTTCCGGTAATCGATACGTTTCCTGGCGATAACTTCCGGTTAGTGGACTCGAATTTTGTGGGAGGTCCTAATGTCGGTTCTCCCCTCCAATGTGCTGGTCATTAATAATATTCACCCAATGTAACATTTTTGCCGGAATGCTACAAAATTTACCAGAACGGAGAAGAAAGTGATGCAAAAATGACAAATGAAACATGTCATTCGTCAAAATTAACTACGTTCAAGCCGATGGAAAATTCATTTAGCGACGGGGTCATGTTGAAAGGCCCTCGGCTCGGCACCCGTAATCAATCACATAAATTGACTACCCTGTTTTTGGGGTGTAAATCCTCAGAGCACTACCTCCAGCAAACATTTCCCCGGTGGTTGTGTCGTCCACACAATGTGTCTGCGCCCCGCTTATAATTGGTGTCTCCCACTGATGGTGCGCCCCAGGAGCGGCCCCTCCCCGGTGGTGGCGTCCTCCCAGTGGTGATGTGCCCCAGAGGTGGTGTCCTCCCAGAGGATGGCGTTCTCCCAGTGGTGGTGCTTCCAGTGGTGATATCTCCCAGTGGTTGAGTCTCCCGGTTGTGGCGTCCTGCCAGTGGTGATATCTCCCAGTGGTTGAGTCTCCCCGGTGGTGGCGTCCTCCCAGTGGTGGTGTCTCCCAGAGACGGTGTCCTCCCAGGGGTGTCGTCCTCCCGTTGTGGTGCTTCCAGTGGTGATATTTCTCAGTGGTTGAGTCTCCCCGGTGGTGGCGTCCTCCCAGTGGTGGTGTCCTCCAATAATGCTATCTCCCAGTGGCGAATATCAGCAGTGAATCTAAAATTGCCTGAGGCTATTTTGAGTTTACTACTGATACCCGTTTTGATAAAGCCGTGAAACCGAAATATCAATACACTTATATTTCCATTATCCTGGTTATTCTGCCAGGACTGAGGCTTTTAGTACTGTCTTGCTTTAAAACCGTAGACTTATTAGCTTAAGTGCATGACGAAATCTTTAACTGAATTGACAGCTTTTTGTTGTCTGTTGCGTACCAATTGATAGGTCCCGATAATGTATGCAGACAGTTAGCATCATGGCCGATCAGACTCACTCAAACCAAAGCGCGCGAAAAGCGGCATCGTCAAATTAACCATGGGTCACACACAATTATCCTTCCTCCGGTATTCAGTTCAAGTCCCTGACCAGCTCGCCTGCGCGCTGACCTCAGGTGCCATTCACACGGCTGGACGTGCGTTCTGGTGCCCCATCGAGCAAGCGGAGAGTCCTAATCCGGTAACAGTGATTGGACACCGGCTGGCGGCAGTCGGCACATCTCGTCACCCTATCAGGTGGTCAATCGCGTTGAGAAGGATATTGGCACACTGAGACCACGCCCAGTGCAAGACGCGGCCGAAATACCGTGCTCTCGTTGGTGCTCAATAATCCGTCAACACACATTAAACCAAGCTGTCACTACTTAACTCTTTAAACAAAGCTGCGGGTAACCATCACAAGGCGTAAGACGTCCGCGCCAGGATTTGGAAGCGACGCCAGTCTGGGAAGGGCATGCGCTCAGACGTTCAACCTTTTGCCGTCCGGCAACACAGCTCGATTTTAGGTAACGGACTGCATTTTTACGCTGCGTTCCAGATCCTAGTGCTACTTTACAGTGCACACATTTCGGCAGTGTTGCGTCATGAAGGGATGAATTATTTTTCGTTAAGCACTGCAGGGAACCCGTGGCCAACATCATGCGTCCCTCTCGGTGGTTAAGTATGCTGCAATGTTTCGCTGATCCCCTCACCATGCATTAATAACTAATAATTGACAGTTTTTAAATGGCTTGTAGCATCGGCCGTCGTACTTTGCCTTCTGTGATGTTACCGTGCAGTGAGTGTGGGAAGGCGATGCGTCTGAGGCTGGTAATTGCCCAGGTAGGGTGCCCACTGCCCACTGCCCACTACCCATACTACCCATAACCAGCCAGTTTTTTGAGGCATGTATTATGGCGTGATTATCTGCTGATGGATCTACCGACACCGCATACAGGTACATATATAGATACCGATCCTGAAATCTACAGATTTGCGGGTTTTTAGTGGGCGTTTGTGTCCAACTGCATGATTTATATGCTCGCTGCCGCATACAGACAGTACAAGAAAGTAACAGATAGCAGGTGTAGGCAACCCCACTGATGTCTCATCTAACATTTTTCAGCGTTGTATTAAATCAGGCTCAGAGCTGACCCGATTTACTTTTGGACATTTATAGTCACAAGTGGAGTCGGCTCAAACTTGTTAAGCTCAGGCGGAGTCAGGGATAAAATCCATTCTGCATGAGTGAGTCAGAAGCAGAGCTGACGCGGCTCAACTGGAGTCAACCACATGTCGGCCCCCGTGGCGGTGTCCAGGCTCAACTGGAATCAAACACACGTCGGTCCCCGTGGCGGTGTCCAGGCTCAACTGGAGTCAAGCACATGCCGGTCCCCGTGGCGGTGTCCAGGCTCAACTGGAGTCAAGCGCCCCGTGGCGGTGTCCAGGCTCAACTGGAGTCAAGCGCATGCCGGCCCCCGTGGTGGTGTCCAGGCTCAACTGGAGTCAAACACACGTCGGTCCCCGGTGGTGGTGTCCAGGCTCAACTGAAGTCAAGCACATGTCGGTCCCCGTGGCGGTGTCCAGGCTCAACTGAAGTCAAGCACATGTCGGTCCCCGTGGCGGTGTCCAGGCTCAACTGGAGTCAAACACACGTCGGTCCCCTGTGGTGGTGTCCAGGCTCAACTGGAGTCAAGCACATGCCGGTCCCCGTGGCGGTGTCCGGGCTCAACTGAAGTCAAGCACATGTCGGTCCCCGTGGCGGTGTCCAGTACCCTCTCAGCCAGTGGCGAAGCTAGTATTTCGCCTCGGAGGGATTATGAATCGGTAAGAGACCCCTATTCGCCGCTTTAGGGACCCTATTCTTTTTTATTTCGGAGAACCCTCTTAGACTCTGGATCCTCTTCAGTTGTCTTGTGTGTCTCTTTACACGTTTTAAAGCCCTCCAGGCGCTTTAAACTGCACAAAAAGTACTGGGCCTTCGGTCCCAGGGGTCCCGTCAACTCCAGGGGGAGGGCCATGACATCAAAAAAACCCTTGGCTACGTCACTTTCCCCTAAGGATGGAGTCCCCAGCGGAGTTGTCACCCAGTTGTGTCCCGTTGCTGGGTCTCAGCGGTAGCACCTGTCAGTGACGAATGGTAAACCCAGACTCCTTAAAGAGGCTGTGTTTTGCCAGCACCTGCCTCCTCTCCCGTCGTTCACGTCGCGTCGAGCCGACACAGAAGCGGCCGTAACGAGCGGCCCCTCCCCCCTCCCCGTCCTCCTACCGCATTCCTCCGGCTTCCCTCTCCGCCGAGTATTTTGGGCGCCCGCGAGCGCCTCGTCCACACGTCCGCGGCACATATAACCTCTGCTTGTTTGGGCCGTCTGGTTCAGAGGAGCCGCCGCTATGCACCGGAGACACAGCCGAGGAGAGGCACATAGTGTCTGACACCCACGTGATGCACATGTGATAGAATGCACGTGATGCACAGGTGCGGCGCTGGAGTTTTCCATTCGCCTCCCAACTTTGAGAAAAAAGTGAGCTAAATTCGGGGAAAACCATTTTTGGAGCGCATTCTGAGAGTGAGTTTATTCATATTCCTTGTCCAGCCGCCCCCAACGTATTTTGCTGAACTACACCCCTGCACACACGGGCGAAGAATCTGGACGTTTGAGCTGAAATGCATTCGGGAACAGAAGTAAGTTCAAGCATGTTCTTCTCATTTCTATACCAGCGCAGGCGTCCGAACAGCCTTAATTTATGCGCAACTTAACATGTTGTAGTATGTTCGGTGCTTATGTGTGCGCTGTGTAGCCATGCTTGACCTTTTGTGCGCCGTTTTTCGCTGTTGTAAATGATGCCAATATCTAAAAAACCGTAGAATGAATGGTCACAACTAGTACATACAATTAAATGAGGACTGGGACCTTCATGGAGGACCTTTCATATGCAACTGCATATGAACAATGACCGGCGAAACCCAAGGAGTAGGAGCTTCTTGATTTGGGGCTCATGATTTGGAGTCAGAGGCCGCGATCATTCTAGGTTCACTGTACTCGGGTCCCGCCTCTCTGGACACAGGCCGCGGCTCTGCTGTCACTCTGTCTGAGGCTCGGGAGCCCTCATTTTGGCCCGAGGCGCGGGCCCTTTCATTCCGCATCCTGAACATGGGGGTCCAGTCGGTCTGGATTCGGGTGGGGGTGGGGGGGGGGGTGGGGGGGGGGGCAGGAATTTGTCAGCCTGGACTCGGGGAATATATTTGCTTGCTAAGTCGGGTCTCAGAGCTCGCGGGCATCCGAGCGAATTCCGATCTGGCTGACCGACAATGTGCCTGGCGCGGGAAGCAGGTATCCCTGCTCATCGACTCATGGTAAGGACGCGCTGCAGTCTGAAATTGGGGTGTGAAGACTCAATACGTCGTCTGAGCTGCGGAAACAAAGTCCTGTTTCGGCTCTGATCAGGGGGTAGGTATTCTGCCATCCTAGAGCGCGGGAGCGGATGGCAGTGTCGCGACCACACTGCCGGGTAACGCCAGAAGCCGCTCCCACTCCGCCGCCGCCTGGTGTCGGCCAGCTCACCTGTCCTGCACCGCTCCCCTCCCCCTCCCTCCCCCTGAGCGGCCCCCTGGGCGCCGCACATGCGCCCCGCCCGCGGCGGCGCAGCGCGCATGCGCAGAGCGCGCGCCGCCAGCTGGGACGCCTCGAGTTACACGTGGGGTTCGCGGCCGTCGGCGCTCGCAGTCCCCGCCAGCGCCCCGCCGCCCGCGCCCGCGCACCGCCGCCCTCCCGGCAGACAGAGCCGCCGCCGCCACCGCCGTGACCGCAGTGCCTCGCTCGGGTCGAACATGATGCTGATGCCCGGCGCCAGCCCGTATTCCCTGCCGTCTGCGCTGGCGGCGACCGGCAGCCCTGCGCTGACGGACTCGCCGGGCGTCTCGCAGAAGGACACCACCTTCACCAAGATCTTCGTCGGCGGCTTGCCCTACCACACGACCGACAAGTCGCTGCGCGAGCACTTCGAGGTGTACGGCGAGATCGAGGAGGCCGTCGTCATCACGGACCGGCAGTCCGGCAAGAGCCGCGGCTACGGCTTTGTGAGTACCCGCGCCGCGCGCGCCACGCTGCCTGCGGCTTTTGTCGTGCCTGGGAGCGAGGGGGAGGGCCGCGGGGTTTCAGCTCTGTTCGCCGGCGGAGGCGGCCACTCAACCATCCGTTTCCAGGTGCTACGGAGCGATGTCGTCAGCCTGCCCAGCGGTTCATCTTCCGTGGATGGTTCGCCGGCGCTGTTGTGGCACCGCGCGCCGCGCGGTCTTCCCGTCACCCGGCACCGAACTCCAGACTCCAGAGCCCCGATAAGATAGTCACGGGCCGGGCTGGCGCGACGCCGGGTTCGCGGAGGGGAGGGGAGGGGGCGGCCGCGATGTCGCGGCCGCGGTCTATCGGGACCAGGTGGGACGCTCCCACTGTTCGGCACCTCCAGACCTCGTCCCTGCCCTCTCGCTGACCCTGCCTGCGCCGGCGGCAGGACTGAAACTCGCAACCCCGGGCAAGGGCCGGCTTCGCCGTCGCGGGTTTCTTTTTCCGGCCAGGGGCTCAGCGCGCCTGGCTCAAGTATCAACATGTTTTTGTTTTGCTGATCTTCTGCTCTGATCTTTGTTCTGGCTGGTGTAGAACCCCTTCCCTGAACTTCGATCTCTCCGGTACGGCCTTTCAACGAATAAACACTCACTACGGCCCTTGTGAGTCCGAGGATTGCAGCAACCGATGCACGGCCACGTAATTTTTGACTAATTTGTGGACGGGATTTTTGAAAATTTCTTTTGAGTGGGTAGCTGGTGGGGGTGACCGGGAAGTGTGTTGACAGTTTGGCCCCACCGATGCCGCGTTTCGGACGGCTCGCGCACCTAGTTCGCCATCTAACTTGGTTTGTGTGGCTGGGTATACAGCTGAGCAGTAGATGCGTAAAGCCGTCACCGAGGGTGGAGTCATGCGCTGCGCAGGCGGGTCAGAGAGGTCACGTGACGTCAGTTGAGGCGCTTGCGAAACGTACGAGGCGTGTGGGGAACGTCACTACCACCATTCGATAATTGCCCTGAAATATTAACTCCAGCAGGGGAAGTGGCAACCTCGTTGCCGCGCCACGGCTGCCAACTTATTCATCCAGCACTTTGGTGATCTTCAAGTACCATTTGCGGCATATTTCTGACGATCTAATTCATCTAGTTTCATTTGAGCAAAAGGTGAGATCCACTTGTATGTCCCGGAAATGGCTGACGAACTGCGCGGGGCTGAGAAGTCCTCTATGCTCGCGATACGATATCAACCACACGAATAGAACGCAAAATAATCACGGAAGTGACTTCCGTGTGCTTTGCCGACTACAAATGCCCACCAGAGCGACCTGTTGGCGTGGGCCCGCGACAGAATGGTCTCGCAGAGGTGCGATAAGCCAGACCTGCGCCCCTGGTGTCACAACCGGCCGCACTCCACAGCAGCTTTACGCAGCACCATAGTTGAACTTCAGACAGTATGTCTTCAACCCCAACAATTGCCTGGCAGCAAACCTGTTAGCGATGTTATGCTTCAACTTCGGCTGGCATCGCTCCTTGACGCCACATGGCGTAACAGTCACATGGCGCCGCTGGTCAACAGTGCTGCTGTATGACGCCACATGGCGTTACAGTCGCATGGCGCCGCTGGCCAACAGTGCTGCTGTATGACGACACCTGGCGTTGCAGTCACATGGCGCCGTTGGTCGACAGTGCTGCTGTATGACGCCACATGGCGTTACAGTCGCATGGCGCCGCTGGTCAACAGTGCTGCTGTAAGACGCCACATGGCGTTACAGTCGCATGGCGCCGCTGGTCAACAGTGCTGCTGTGTGACGCCACATGGCGTTACAGTTACATAGCGCCGCTGGTCAACAGTGCTGCTGTATCTGAGATGCGGTGAGAATCTCCGAGCGGTGCGCGGCTGACACGGGGTCCATGGTAACGGCAGAAACTCGTTTAGTTAGCAAGCGAACGTCTCGCAACGATGATTTTGTTGGCGTTTGTATTTTTCCGTTGCTGGATGGCTTCCCTCAGTATTTTGGCTGTAACTGCATTCGTTGCGATGCGAAGGAGAAGATCGTGTAAAAAAGCACGCAGCTACTATTTTTTGTAACGAACACTTCGCGCGTCGCTACACACCCTTTTATGGGCCACCAGTGACCACGGGGATCATATTTTCGCTACGGGGTTATAACTTAGTCGAGATTTGAACCCGGTGCCGTCACGTGGGAGCTGAAGTCGCTGACCACTCGGCCGCCACGCTTTATAACGTAACTTTGAGAACCCCTACAAACAGTTTTTAATGTATTAGATTGGTTATGTCATTTCTAAATCTGATGTCTTTTGGTACTATGGCCCAAATATACATATGCGGCATGGCTACCTATATTTGTCAGTAGTGCAAGTCACGAAACGATAGTTTTCATATGGGTAAACGTGTCGAACGAGCGGACCTAAAGTACGCATTCAGTGCGTCTAAGTGTACACATCACGGCAGCGGTGGAGATTATCCGTTCATTGTTATTTTAAGTGATAGGATTTATCATGACCATGAAGCAATGCTGCAACCCGGTTGATAGTGTGAGTTCCATATTATTTCAGTATCGCCGACGATAATGGTATTCATGTTAATAAGTTCCATAATACTTGGGTGTTGCCGACCATGCGAAACCTTCATGTGATTGACTACCTCAACGTATGTTTGATTCTCGTCTGGTCTCGAGGCTTTTGCTCCGGCCGCTTTTGGTGACAGTTTCCGGGCAGACGAGGCTTTGCTGCTACTGCGCCTTTCCACGCCATTTAGGCAGGTTCCTGCTGACGGAAGTGTCTATGTCAATGCTCCTGCTACAGGGCGTTGTCGGAGGAGGTGCTGCACCCTTTACGCGCAACGTTGTCCGGTCGGCCCATTCCCGCACTAAAAAGCAGGGTGAAGGGAATGACGAACTAGCTGCAACAAAGGTCCTATGACTGTTTTCACGTCCTCTGCAGTAGCGTCAAAGCTTCTGGCTGGATGACCTCTGCCGCTTCCCATCGGCGGGATCCACAGCTGGGGTGACCTCTGCCGCTTTCCATCGGCGGGGCCCGTAGCTGGGGTGACCCTTGCCGCCCCCAGCGGCGGGATCCACAGCTGGGGTGACCTTTGCCGCTTCCCATCGGCGGGATCCACAGCTGGGGTGACCTCTGCCGCCTCCCATCGGCGGGATCCACAGCTGGGGTGACCTTTGCCGCCTCCCAGCGGCGGGACCCACAGCTGGGGTGACCTCTGCCACTTTCCATCGGCGGGGCCCGTAGCTGGGGTGACCCTTGCCGCCCCCAGCGGCGGGATCCACCGCTAAGGTGACCCCTCATGGGCGTCAGCAGCAGCTCCGGGTTGCCCCCGCCAGGCGACGCCGCCGGCCTCTGCAAAAAGCGCTAATGGAGCTGATAGCGGCCGATATGCCACGTACGCACTGTCTGGCCGCGCACGGGGCTCCACAGCTGCCACGGCAGTTGCCACTCCGGCAGCTGCTGCCTCCTCAGGCGCAGCACGTGTGGCAGCTGGGCCGCTGCTGATTTGCCACCTGTAACAGCTTGTTCTTTACTGCGTTCTGGTAGCCCTACCTAAAGCCGGTGTTTTACGAGAGCTCTTAATGATGTACCATTTTGTGTAAAAGCTGTCGGATGCCAATTAGAGGCTACTTAATTACTTAAAATTCGAACAGTTTTACGTTTCCACTGTTAAAGTCATCCCATGTTACGTCGTTTTTTACCCGAAAGCGGGCAGATCGACTCCACCAGAACCAAAGTGGCGGTCAGTCTGACCAGACCCTGTGCGGCAGTCAGTCTGACCGGAGCCGGTGCAGCAGTCAGCCTGACCAGACCCTGTGCAGCAGTCAGTCTGACCAGACCCAGTGCAGCGGTCAGTCTGACCAAACCCGGTGCAGCAGTCAGTCTGACTAGACCTGGTGCAACAGTCAGTCTGACCAAACCCGGTGCAGCAGTCAGTCTGACCAGGGCTGGTGCAGCAGTCAGTCTGACCAGGGCCGGGGCAGCAGTCCGTCTGACCAGACCCCCCAGTGCAGCAGTTGGTCTTACCAGAGTCAGTGCAGCAGTCAGTCTGACCAGGCCCAGTGCAGCAGCCAGTCTGACCAGACTCGGTGCAGCAGTTGGTCTGACCAGACCCGGTGCAGCAGTTGGTCTGGCCAAACCCGGTGCAGCAGTTGGTCTGACCAGCCCCGGGGCAGCAGTTGGTCTGGCCAAACCCGGTGCAGCAGTCAGTCCGACCAGAGCCGGTGCAGCAGTCAGTCTGACCAGGGCCGGTGCAGCAGTCAGTCTGACCAGGGCCGGTGCAGCAGTCAGTCTGACCAGAGCCAGTGCAGCAGCCAGTCTGACCAGACCCAGTGCAGCAGTCAGTCTGACCAGACCCGGTGCAGCAGTCAGTCTGACTAGACCCGGTGCAAAAGTCAGTCTGACCAAACCCGGTGCAGCAGTCAGTCTGACCAGAGCCAGTGCAGCAGCCAGTCTGACCAGACCCGGTGCAGCAGTTGGTCTGACCAGAGTCAGTGCAGCAGGTGACTGCACAACACATGCCAGAACCGGTCTAGCCGGCTCTAAGGTCAATTGATTAGCTCAAATATAAGGCTGAGGTAGTATATGCCTATTCCGGGGACTGTCAAAGTCAACACGTTTAGGAATGAAGGCGCTGGCGTTTTTCTTCCATCTTACGTTGGTTTATTTGTATCGACCATATAACTTTAAAAGTGCTGCGTTATAAGCACCTCTTACCGTAAGCGACCATATCATTAACACTTTATACCTGATAAACATGTTTTGGTGGAAATACAAATATGTCTAAAACTGTGCTGATATCTTTCTGAATTCAAATCGTCATCAACTCCGTGTGGTGCGAGTCTTGAGTCTTGAGTCTGAGTCTGGGCAACGACCCCGCTCAGGCGAAAAAGGGCACAAGTCTCATTCCGTGGAGACACATTTGTGCGTTAACATTAAATGATCAGACGACAAAAAAAGATGCAGTCGTTGTCGATATTACCCATGGCGACGAT